TAACCAAATGGTGTCTGAAGCCAGATAAGAATTTGGGCTAATGATCCCCCACACATACCTACATTTGAGTAGTCTCATCCCCCGTGGAAGCTGGCACAACTTTTAACCATCAATCAATATGTAACTTCTTTGCTCCCATCCCACCAACTATATAAGTCCTCAGGACAAAGGACCTGGTGCTCTTGCCACCCAAGCTCTTCCCTTTCACTCCCATCCCAGCAAGACCTGTCCTCTTCCATGAGAACATATTACTAACAAACCCTGCTTACACACTAATACACTTGCTGATCTGTAATCCTATACTGCATTGGAAAGAAGAGCAGTTTCTCCTGTGATAGGTGCACCCAATGTGCATATGGCATTCATGAAGCCCCCAACACAGGAGCTTCTGTAATGTACTCTCCTTGTACCTGGGCCCCACAGGGCTTAATACAACACTAACACCATCTCGAAATTAGTACCTACTGTATCTTTAAACTTTGTGAGGTCAAGCCTGATGGGATAATGGACATGCACAATGCTGGTCATTCCTGGCCACCCCTTCCCAGATAATGTCCACAATGGCCCAGGAGGACAAAATTCCAGTGGGCCAATGGTGGGAGTCCCGGGAGACTCAAGATGACAAGAGTAAACATCTGCATCTGCATGAGCATTAGGAAGGGTGCTAACAGCTCCCAGAGGTCACACTTTTCTTAGAACCCCAGCTGAGTTCAATACACAGAGATGGTGAACAGTTAGTGAGAACCCCATCCTACCCATTCCTGCATGAGGGAGCCCTAAGCATGACCCACCCTGTTCCTGCTAGAGTGGGTTCACCAAACAGGGACACCTACCCCCATGACCTGGAATGATGACCTTTCCTCCCAATGTCAGGCTTGTGAAGAAGAGTGTCTACATAAACTATGTGGATTTCAATAATAAATATCCACTATTATTTCCTTTTATGCTTTTTTAAAGGAAGGTGTATTTTTGGGGTTTTTTTTCCCTTCCCTGTTTCTCCCCCCACCACCAGAGCCCAGAAAGAACACCATAAACTCAATATTCCGTGGCTTTTAGCATGGGCCATGGGAGAGGTGCAGAGTCCTGCTGTAATGCTGGCAGAGGGGCTGGCATTGAATACAGTGGGAAGGGGAACCCACAGACTGCCACATGATGCTCACCACCCCCAACACCAGGACAGACCCTGGAGTTCTCCCAGAAGGCTTAGTGATTCAAGATGAGTAGAGAGGTCTGTTCCCTCTCCCTCCCCTTCAGCAGCAAACCACATTCCTAGTGTAGCTGCCAGCCTCCAAGGTACCCCCCAAATGCACATGCCCTTGTACAGTCCCTCCACATAACCGAGCTGATCTGTGTTATGAAAATGGTGTGCAGCTCTCAAAGCTAAGTCAGAAAGAGACTTGTTTCAGCCTTGCTTGCATAGTTCACAGAATCTCAGACCGCCTTGTTCAGGGAACACACACACACACACACACACACACACACACACACCCCTTGTCCACCTGGCAGTGGCTGGCAACCACCATCCTTGTTTTGAAGTGGAGGCTCCAAGAAGTGACTGCAGCCTGACATCTGATGGATTCCAAGCCTCTTGCCTTACCCAGAAGCTGGTTGTTTAATGGAGAGGATGGTTCTTCTAGGTGGGTGCCTCAGGGGCTCCTCATCTGCTCTCTGGGTGGCCCTGGATGGATGAGCCCAACCTGCCTCTGAACCTCAGAGCAGAACACTGTGTATGTGTCTGCAAAACATGCCCATGTGCAGACTGATGGTCCAAGGTGACGAGTTAAGTTCTGCAGTGACAGCTGGACTCACACTGACAGCAACAGCCACCCTCCCGTCTCAAGCCTGACCATATCCAGCAGGGGCCAGCACACATCCCGTGAACTGTGTTCACTGGCAGCCTGTGTGTCACTATGCTGAGCCGCAGTGTTGCCTGGGCCTGTGGTCCTCAGCCAGGTGGTTCATTAGAACCCTCTGGACCTCACTGGGATACACCCACTGACTCTGTCCCAGGGTAGGGGCAGCCATCTCTGGCCTGGGCAGTGACTCAAATGGGGAGACAAGGGCAGCAGGCAGAGTCCATGACAAAATCCAGATGTGACTGGGGTCAGGAGAGGGGCTCTGACTCCAACCACAAATTCCCATCACAGTGGCATCAGGGATAGGCACATGTATTCTTCCTGTGACAGTCCAGCCACTGTGACGCGTGAGAGCCTCTCTGTGGTTTGGTGCTTGTGCAGACATCAGCCACACCAGCCAAATTCTCAGATCTCTGCTCAGGGCCTTGGCTGACCAAGAAGAAACATCAGTTACAGGTTACTGAGCAGTGTGTGCAGCGTGCTTTACCTGCGTGGTCTGAAACCTATGAGGCAGAAACACCTTTAGCCACGTGCCCAGAAATGTTAGCGAGATGCTTCAAGAGCACAACTGCACTAAGGCTCTGGCACACAGTCCAGGCCCAGAGGCCCGGCTGCCAGGCAGCCCAGCAGCAGCACCAGGCACACAGCTTCAGCTGTCTTTCTGCTCTGTCTTCCTGGGACTGTGTTTTGTCGTCCTGGTTGAGAGGGCCTCCTGCACTTCCAGTATCACACTTGTCCAGTTCCAGGGACAGGGAGGGAAGGGGGCAGGAGTCAATTTCTTTTGAACTGGGAGGCCACTACTGCTGGGCTTGTTACATTTGGGAAGCCCTCCCCTCTCTGGAGGAAGCTAGGAGGGGTCATTTCAAATGAAAGTGTGCTGGAGGAAAGCATCAGTTCAGGGTGACTATGGTTTCTCTCTGGCTGAGTTGCTAGGGAGTCAGTTTCTCCTGGCAGCACAGGGTACATCTTCATGTTGGGGCCTGCGACAGACAATCTTTCCTGTAATTGACCCCAGGTGGTCCTATGTGACAGCACCCACACTGACCCCCAACTCCAGTTCAGTGAGGTTTCCCTTTATGCAGTTTCACAGTAATACAGTTATTTGGGTCATTTCAGGTCCATGGAAATCAAGTTATATTTACGTGTTGAAAACGAGGTAAGGACCAGAAACACTCTCCCACTTTATCCCGTGAAAGCCAGTAGCAGCTAAACTGACTCTGCTCTGTGAATCCCTGTCCTCAAACTTCATCTTATTTTTATGCAAAATATTTGTAGGTTTTTCCAGAATTTCTAAATTTATTTAGTTTTGTTTGGTTTTATCTCATCTTCCTATTACTGAAATGTGTTTACACCTGAGTTACTTAAATACACCTATTAATCATAACACCACTTCCCTGAGACATGAAATTCTCCCAGTGTGTTTTCCAGTATACTTATTGTTCTATTTGTTGTGTTTAAATACTTGAGCCGTCTGGGACTTATTTTGTGTCTGTGAATTGCGTGGTCAGGATTTACTGACTTAAGTTTCCACGAAATGCAATGCAGTCTTGACCGCGTCCTCACTGCTTAGGCAGCTCTAGCTGAAAGTGGTTTGAAGGGGGGGGGGGGGGAGCGGGGCACGGACGGGCCTTGATGTGAGTTGGGGATCCCGACTACGGTCTGGAGGAACAAAAACACTTTGTCAGGCGGCAGGAGGACCACGTCCACGCTATGGTCCGGCCCCGGATAGGGACTCCCAGCTCCTGCGGGGCGGACCCCTCACCAGCTGCGGAAAACGAGCCACAGGAGCGGCAGGCTGCGTGACTGGTGCACGGGGAGACCCAGGGTAGCCAATCCCCGTGGGGTGGGGCAGGTCTTCTGCTGCCTGGTCCTGAACCCATGGGGCTCTGCCCCTCTGCCCCGCCCTTTCAGCTTCTTCTGACCGCCCATTGGCGGGCAGGCCCTGGGATCCCAGCACTGATTGGCGGATTGTGCCCACGTGGCTATCCAGGGTGGAGCCTCCTCCCCAAGGCGGGAAGCCCGGGAACTCCGAGAGGATGCTCTGCTGAGGTGGGCAGCGCGGCATGGGCCCCGGGAGACTGGCCGGTAAGCGGGGAGCCCTGCTCTGTGGAACCCTCAGCCCGAGACCTTCCAAGTCCAGCCCGAGAGACCCCAGATGCCCTCATCCCGAGGGGCCCCAAGCCCCTTCAGCACCGAGGGGCGCGTCCGCTAACCCGGAGGACCCCACGTCTCCTGACCCCCAACGCTCAGACCCCCAAACAGCCTGAAACCCCAGTTCCCCTCAGCTCAGGGGCGCCCTTCCTGCAGCCCGCCCGCCCGGAAAGACCAAACCTCCCCAAACTCAGAGACCCCGAATGCCGTCGTCCTGGAAACCGACTCAGTGGAGGGGACCCGGAAGCCCCTCGTGAGACGCCCCGACTCCCCTCAGCGCGGCGGTCTGGCCCTCTCCCCCCGGGACGCTGAGTGTCCTCCGCCCGGAAGACGCAGATGGAGTCCTGAGGGACCCCGAGCCTCTCAGCCCGAGAGACGGCGGAGTGCCGGACACTGCGCCTGCGCCTCGCGCGGGCTTCTCCGGACCCCGGGGGCGCCTCCGGGCCCTTCCCCGGGAGAAGCGCGTTTCCTGCGCCGCCACAGGCCCGCCCGGCCGACGGGGTCCCTCAGACGCCCTGGCCGCTGCCTGCGGAGCCCGCGCTGAGTCTGGCGAGGGGGGCGGGGGAGGACGCCTCCCCTCTGGCGGGTCTGCCCCACCCTATCCAGCCCTTCCTCCCGCAAGGCCCCTGCATCTGGCTCTCTGAGCCAGGCCAACCCAGAGAAAGGCCGGTACCGGGACGTGAAGAGGAATTCGGACGCGCTCACCAGCCCAGGTAGCGCGCGCGCAGGCGCTGGGCCCAGGGGCTTGGAGACCCCGCAGGCGCCGGGCTGGCTCCGGCTCAGGCGGCTCCATCCGCCCGCAGCTCCCTCCGGCAGGGACACCGATCAGGGGGAGTTTGCTCCTTCAGTCAGAGCGGGGCCGGCGCTGACGAGGGTGCGGGGCTCACGGCAACTCGCTGCAGACTCTGCCGTCCCATCGGAGCCAGTCCCACGGGCTTCCTGGGCTTGTCCCTCCCCCACGCTCTCTGCTTCAGGACAGAGGTCTTGTCTCTTCCCAGGTCTCTGGGCCCTGCGACCGGCTGTCCTGTGTCACCGCCGCAGGCAGAGCACCGAGCTCCAGGAGGAGGACCCTGAGGACTCCGATGAAGAACGGGCTCCGAGGCAGCACGGTGAGCGGCGGGAGGAGCCAGCGCTGCCCTCCCGGCTCGGACCTGGTGTAGGTCGGGCGGCATCTCAGGACGTCACCAGGGAACAGGTTTGCTGGTGCAGCGAACAAGCAAGAGGCACAACAGTGTGTCGTACAGTGAGGGGCTGTTCCTGTAAACTTTCACGTGGGCGACGTAATCATATGTATTTATAGACACATTAGTAAGCAGTGAATGTGTAGGAACATAAAGTGAGCGAGAAATAACTACTTCAGAAGGGTCAGCATCGCAAGAGAGGGAGGCGGGTCTGGGCGGTGAGGAGGGTCCCCACACCTGGCCGCGCGGTGGCCCGCATGGAGACGGGGGCGGGGAGCAGTGTTAACGTGGTGATGACGGGAGTGGGGGAGGGCCAAGGGTCGGGAGGGGTTGGTCACCGTGTGGTTTCCTGATGTCGGCCCCATGTTCTGTCCAGTATCGTGAGTGTTCGGAGGGTGCGGTCGGTCCACTTTCATGGTTCTGGGGTTGACACAGCTGAAGTCAAGATGTGATCTTCAAGTTGACTGGGATTACCTTTCTGAGGTCGACAGACTGTGGGTGCTGACCAGAGTCTAATGATTAAGGAAGGGCGTGGGTGGCCAGTATGTGCGGGGACGGGCGGGGTGGGGGTGGGGGAGCGGATACCAGAGAAAGGAGGTGAGGTGGTCCTGGTGTCCTCAGCCTGGACAAGGACAGTTTGAATGAAGAAAATGGCACATAGAAAGGGTTATGTTGAAGACATGGAGTTTCTGTGCAGTTACTAATTGTCAGGAGAAGACAATTTATATTTTAATAAATGTAATAGATGCCTTATGAACATAGGGTAAAGTGTAGATGACACTTTGTCTATTTTTTTAATCATTCTAATGAAATTAGTGGATGGCCCCAATAGAAGCCTAGGCCTTAATGAATCTCAGAAACATTTTCCAGCCATCCCGGGATTGTTCTTGGACTACTCTCATTCAGAATTCTGTGTCCCTAATAAGAAACTCCAGATTTTAGAAACATTAACCAACCAGAACACTGATTTCTCATCACCTTTCAGTGAAACCTTCTTGGGTGGCCTTCAGAAGGAACAGAGTAAACACCACAAGGTGAGTGACCAAATCCTGTTGACAAGAAAATTTTCCTTGTGGATAGAAATGCAGGTAAGAGTAGGAAAATGCAGAAAGTATCCTAGGAACTACTGTCTTCCTTTCCTGGTCTCTTCAACACACTGTCCAACATTATCATCCTTTTCTAAAGATTTTATTTATCGATTTGTTTAGAGAGAGGGGAAAGGGGTGAGAAAGTGAAGGAGAGAAATATGTGCAAGAGAAACATGAATACCTTGCCTCTCACACGCCCCCAAGTGGGGGACCTGGTCCACACCCCACAAAATCTGGAGTTTCTTATTAGGTCCACATGCCTGGGGAGGCATGTGCCCTGACCGGGAATGGAACTGGTGACCTTTCAGTCTTCAGGCCAGCATGCAGTCCACTGAGCCACACCAGCCAGGGCTCATCATCCTCTTAATAGTTACCAACTACAGCAACAATAGTAACTACCAGTTGTTTCATTCTCACAATGTTTCAGACTTTAAGAATTCTATGTGAATAAACTGACTTAAACATTATAACAATCTGATGAGGTATGTACTATAACTGTCACCATTTATGATGAGGGAAGTGAGCTTTCAGAGATATAGAAATGTGTTTTTTTTTATTTTTAATCATTGTTCAAGTACAGTTTTCTCCTTTTTACTCCCAATCCATTCCCCCCTCCCACCCCTCCCCACTTCCCTCCCATTACCACCCTCCCCTTAGTTTATGACCATGTGTCCTTTAAGTTTGTTCCTGTGAACCCTTCCCACTGTCCCCTTAAATTCCCTCTACTCTCCCCTGTGGTCACTGTCAGCCTGTCCTCTATTTCAGTGTCTTTGGTTACATTTTGTTTGTTTCTTTGTTTTCTTATTTAGGTTCCTGTTACAGGTGAGATCATATGGTGTTTGTCTTTCACTGCCTGGCTTGTTTCACTTAGCATAATGTTTTCCAGCTCCATCCACGCTGTTGCATAGGGTAGTAGCTCCTTCTTTCTTTCTGCTGCATAGAATTCCATTGTGTAAATGTACCATAGTTTTTTGATCCATTCATTTACTGATGGGCATCTTGGTTGCTTCCAGCATCTAGCTATTGTAAATGGTGCTGCTATGAACATTGGGATGCATAGCTTCTTTTGAATTGGTGTTTTAGTATTCTTAGGATAGAGTCCCAGCAGTGGAATCGCAGGGTCAAAAGGCAGATCCATTTTTAGCTTTCTGAGGAAGTTCCATACTGCTTTCCATAGTAGAAATGTTTGACTATATATCTTACATCACAGTATCAGTGGTAGTGCAATCCATCCCATAGTTGCTTCTCTAAACCACTTACAAACTCATTAAAACTTTCATAGTTTTACTCTCGCCACTATGACTCAGCTGGGTGTCATCCTGCAAAGCAAAAGATCTTGGGTTTGATTCCTGGTCAGGGCGCATGCCTGGGTTGTGGGCCAGGTTCCTGTTTGGAGTGCGTGTGAGAGGCAAGTGACTAATGTTTCTCACATCAATGTTTCTCTCCCTTTCTCCCTCTCTTCCCATCTCTCAAGAAAATAAACAAAATCTTTTTTTTTAACATTTTTTATTAAAAAAATTTTTTTTAAGATTTTATTTATTTTTAGAGAGGGAAGGGAGAGAGAGAGAGAGAGAGAGAGAGAGAGAGAGAGAGAGAGAGAGAGACATCAATGTGCAGTTGCTGGGGTCCATGGCCTGCAACCCAGGAATGTGCCCTGGCTGGGAATCGAACCTGCGATGCTTTGGTTCGCAGCCTGTGCTCAATCCACTGAGCTGCACCAGCCAGGGAACAAAATCTTTTTTAAAAATTAGAAAAATAAACTTTAATAGTTTTCTAAAGTTTACATTGTCTTATCCATATGTCATTACATCATTCATCTGACTGACGGATTCAACCAAAGTTCTTTTCTGCTATCGGACATGAGAGATGCATTAAGACCTTCTGACTAAGGAAGGCATACAATGTGCAGGCAGTTCGTACAGTAGATGGTCCCAGATGAAGAAGAATGTAAAATGTCCAGGATCACAGTCTCCCACTCTAATCAAAGAGCATCTCCCACCCCTGAAGAGCTTCAGGTTTGATGATTGAGAAACAACAAATAATAAAATGACTTAAGGACTTCATATAGGTTATACACTCTTCTAAAGAAACTCATCAATCTGGAACTGATTTCAAATGCCATTTCTTATAAGGTGAAGTAACACCTTTCTCTTGAGTCCCAATGAGGCCACTCTCATCCTGTTTAGAATCATTTGTTCAGCCCACCCACCTCTGCATTATGAGCTCTTTGAGAGACTGGTCCATACCTGAGTGTTCTCAGAGGTCACAGGCCCAGATCAGGGCCCCTGAGGGGCCACAAATATTTGCTGAATGAATGATATCACAATTACGAATTAAGCTAGAAGATGATCAATGAACGCTGAGGGTAATTTCTGTGAGATTTGAAATATGGAGAGAGTTGAGGGGTAAATTGATATCAGGACTGTAATCTCACATTCATACTGTTACACAGTTCACAGAACACTGGTCAGCATTATTTAATGGCACCTTCACTCTAACATTGAAAATTAGCATGTAATAGATTGTGAAACTGAAGACAGCCAGCTACTGATACAGCCTTATTGAAACAGAATTTTTGGGAACCAACTAAATAAAAATATTCTTTCTAAGGTATTGCAAATTTTATCACCATTTTATTTATTGTTTAGGTATGTTTCTGCCAACTATTCCTTTATTCTCTTCCCAATATCCCTCACTCTCAATATTATAGACACAGTTGAAAGAGCCATAAGGCATGAGTTCTAATCTTGGATTCATTATGCACAATGGCCCTATCCCCTCTAATACTCATACTCCCTAGGTATTTCCAAGGGTTGAAGTTTTAAAGACATGCATGTAAAACGTATCATAAGCCTTAAAAAATTAAATACACATTATCTTTTAATGTGTGACTCTTATATTGAAGGCAACATCCAGGATGCCATTAAGCAATGAATATAGTTTGAAGGAATTGTCAGAAACAGCAAATTTGATGACTTCAGGTGACTCGGAGCATGCCCAGAAACCAGTGTCCTCTCCTGGAAAAGCATGTGCCTTTGGAAAGCACACTAGTCAAAAATCGGGTAAGAAAAAATAATTTGGAGACTTAAGTTCCTCTGAGTCCTATAGAAGGGCTGATAAGTATGACCTAGGTATGTTGGGCAGACTATGAATAGGCCTGGATTTAAGCTGGGCTAAACTGAGACTGAAGTTAAGCAATGGAGCTTTGGGCAAATCCTATAAATTCTCTGACCTCCGGAATGCTAATGTGTAAGGAGAAGATAAGGAAACATCACTCACATATTGTTTGAAACCATTAAATGAAATTTAAAACAATTGACACATGCAAGTTTTCCAATAAATTGATCAGTGATAAAAGCAACCACATTTTATTGGTGTTGAGTGCCCAGGCCTTTACTCAATGCCTAACACATAAAGTGCACTCAATAAATATGTTATGAATGATTAAATATTGGCAAGTAAACCTGATAATGGGAAGATCTAGAAACTAACATTGAATCAGTCATCTCTGCTTAGCGTGGAGTCTTAGTCTTCTGGACAATAGTTAATGGAGTAAAATACCAGAGTATGCAAAAGAACAGGTAATAATTTGATGGGAGATCGTGTTATCTGACAAAATGGGAACTAATACTCCAGACCCCACCAACCTTGCTCACCTGTCCTTCTCCAACTCAGAACTCAGGAGAAAGGAGATGGACGTGAAGATGTACAGCCTACTAGAAAGAAAGGACTGTGTGTACCAAGAGGTCACCGAACCTCAAGATGATGACTACCTTTGTAAGTGACCCTCGCTAAGAAGTATGTTATGATACAATAATTTCATCTAGTCCTTTGGTCCCCAAATTATGCCCTTCCTCTAGTGACCTGGAATACAGGATTGAGTCTCAATGATGTTAGTGCCAGACCCCCTCTGAAGCTCTTTGTGTCCAGGTACAAGCACTATACCTTCCCTAACCCCTGTTGCTCTCACCTCCAGATTGTGAGAAGTGTCAGAACTTCTTCATCAACAACTGTGCTGTGCATGGACCCCCTACATTTGTACAGGACAGTGCAGTGGACAAGGGGCATCCCCATCGCTCAGCCCTTACCTTGCCCCCTGGTTTGAGAATCGGGCCATCAGGCATCCCTGAGGCTGGGCTTGGAGTGTGGAATGAGGCAGCTGACTTGCCAGTGGGTCTGCACTTTGGCCCTTATGAAGGACACATCACAGAAGATGGAGAGGCAGCCAACAGCAGATACTCCTGGCTGGTGAGAAGTATTTACCTCTTCCACTATCCCTGCCTTCCCACATTCCTTCTGAGGCTTGGAAGGACCTCACCTCCTACATGCTAGACATAGAGGGGACAATATGGTTAGCTCTGTGTACTGACTGGACTTTACATGAACACAGAGCTCCTGTTTAAGGATCAGATGGTAAGTGGGAGCAAAGTGGTGCAGACACAAAGGACTGGCTCCTCCCTTGTGGGGCTCCTGCTCTGGTTGGACAGGTAGACTTGGATGTGTAGATGATAAGTAAGAAAAATATCATGTGGTCACAGGTGACAGTTGAATCCCCATGCAAGCTGGAAGAGCTTTGATGACAGTAGAGTAAAAGAATTCTTCTGACTATTACCTCCCCACACAAACAATAACTCCCCACAAAACTATTACCTCCCCACCAAAAAAAAAAATAGAAGTTAATTCTTTAACTTCTTTTCTGAAACTCAGATCACCAACGGGAGAAACTGCTATGAGTATGTGGATGGAAAGGACAGATCCTGGGCCAACTGGATGAGGTGAGGTCAGTAGGTCTCTGGGTTGGTGCCAGAGGGGACTCTCATCCCCCACAAGTCCATATATCTTTCCCTCTCATCATGCCTCCCTCAATGGTCTCCCTTAATCCTTTTTCCCTCTTTTTTCCATAAAGTGTTCTTTCATTTCAGGGGACATTTAGGAAAAGTGTATAGCATATGTCCTCAAAATATAAAGCCCTCTACTAGACACAACTTGGGCACCAGAAAAGACCTTGAGGAGCCTAGATTTACCAGGGACAGTGGACTACACTTTAATTTATCAAATCAACATTAATTAAGCACTTACTATATTCCAGTTTAGATGAAGGAATACATTACTTAAATAGATCACATAACCCATGTCCTTATGGAGGACTTCTCATAGACAGACATAAAACAATTGCTTTTACAAGCATTTGACTATCATTTCCAAGAAGTGCACAGTGTCAAGGTAGCACAAACCAAGGATGGCTTAGCAAATCATCCCAGCCTCACTTCAAACTATAACTGGGCTCTGAGTCCTGCAGAGGAGTGGTCATGGGCCCCTTTCCTGAGAGGGGCTCTTTTTATCAGGGATAACAGAATATGAATCAACTACTATTGTTCTGTTTTAACTAGGACAAAAAGACCTCCAATTTTCTATGGTCACCTTGGGCATGCAAGTGAATGGTACCCTCAATAAAGGGGGTTGTCCAACCCCCCTACATTGTGCTATCTTGACACTGTGCACTTCTGTACCCTACATTTATTGAGGGGGGTTGGACAAAGGCCTCTCAGAGAACACATGTGGGATGAGTACTGAATAATTAGTGAGCTAAGTTCGAAGCAGAGCTCTAGATCAGGCACCACCTTCTGTGGTGTGAGACAACTTGATTTAGTGTTTGGAGAAGCCAGAAATCAATGGATATTATGGACAATCAGGGTGAAGGTTAAGTCTAGAACTGGGTCTTAGAAAGTGCTATTAGGCAGCATTCACACTGCAAGCAGAACTTGGAGGTAGGAATTCACATGACATGCTGACAGACACTCAGACCCTGAATAAAAGGCTCCCTTGGAGCATTACAGGCAGTGGGCAACACCAGAACCTGAGGACCTTAAAATCAGTGAGGAGGTAGACATGGATGTAACAGGTAGTGGAAACTCATCACTGTGGTTTTCTTTCCCTTCCTCTGCCTCAATCCCAGGTTTGTGAACTGTGCCCGGGATGATGAAGAGCAGAACCTGGTGGCCTTTCAATACCATGGGGAGATTTTCTACCGAACCTGCCGGGTCATCAGGCCGGGCTGTGAGCTGCTGGTCTGGTTTGGGGATGAGTATGGCCAGGAGCTGGGCAGCAAGTGGGGCAGCAAATGGAAGAGACAGCTCCCATCTGGGAGAGGTGGGCACCACTGTTCTTCAAAACAGAAACAAAAGAGAATTCTCCATACAGATATTCATGATCCAACTCTTAACTAGAGTAAAATCCACTCTAAAGTCAGTTAAGTTTCGAGTCAGATGCTTCAGAAATTCACAATTCATTCATATGCCTTTGGCTCTTAGGCAAAATTTTTATATTTTTTATTTAAAAAATATTTCATACATAAAATATACAACCACATATAGCGTTGAAAGGCTAAGAGGCAAAAAACAATCAAACAAACAAACAAAAAAACAGTTTTCAAGCACTAACCAGCTCTCTCACCAAGGCAGTTTTTCGGACACTTTAATAGCTGTTTCTTCTTAACTTTCCTCCATACTTCTAAATAAAACATTCCTTATAGGCATTCATTATTTTTTAAAGATTTTGCCCTGGCTGGTGTGGCTCAGTGGATTGAGTGCCAGCTTATGAACCAAAGGGTTGCCAGTTTGATTCCTACTTGTGGCACATGCCTGGGTTTCGGACCAGGTCCCCAGTAAGGGGAAGGTGACAGGCAACCACAGATAGATGTTTTTCTCCCTCACCCTCCCTCCCTTCCCCCTTTTCTCAAAATAAATCTTTTTTTAAAAGATTTTGTTTATTTTTATAGAGAGTAGAAAGCAGGGAGAAAAAAGAATCAATGTACAAAGGAAACATTAATCAGTTGTCTCTGGCACACCCCCAACTGGCCACAACCCTGGCATGTGCCCTGACAGGGAATTGAATTTGTAACCTTTCATTTTTCGGACAACACCCAACCTACGGAGCCACACCATTCAGGCAGGGCACATTCATTCACCATTTCAGTGAATTGTCAGGTGAGATCCTACTCTGGCACACAGGGTCCTGGGACCTGGAAATACAGATTACCATGAGGATGAGAATCACTGCTCTTGAGGAGCTGACAGGTAAAGGAGGGAAACGCAGGCATACGTGCTTTCATGTGCATAACACCACACAGCGGTTAGTGCTTTGGAGAAAACTAATTCAGGACAAGTGCCTAGGGATCAGTGTGAGGGGAGGTACAGTGTGGCAGGTGTTCCGGGAAGGGCTCCTCAGGAGATAACATTTACGAAAATACCTGGGGGCAGAGGATCCCAGGCAGAGGGAGCAGCTAGTGCAGGAAGAAAAGAGGTGGGGCATTGAATTGGCTGAGGGTCACTCAGGTCTCATCTCAGCATTGAGCATAAGAATGGAGATCAGATAGATGCTCAGCAGCCTGGAAATGCAGTGCTGATGACCCGAGTTGAGACATTGGGGACTTTCATGAGTGAAAGTGTGTTCTCTGTTCTGATTATGCTTTGTTAATTTTTACAAAATAAACTCCAGTGGGGAATCCCCTCAGAAATTACTTCATCTGCAAATGAGAAAGCATGTTGGATTGGCCAGAGAGGAACAGGAGTCACGTGTATAAGAAGTGTGGTTGGAGAAATATTTTGAAAAAAGACTTCTCAGTGTATTTGAAATGGGCTAACACTGAATGGAATGAAACCTAAATATTTGGTATTAGGCTTGAGGAAGGATATTTCTAAGATTTTATTTATTTTTAGAGGGGAAGAGGGAGAAAGAGAAGGAAACATCCATGTGTGGTTGCCTCTCACATGCCCCCTACTAGTGACCTGGCCCACACCCAGGGACATGCCCTGACTGGTAACTGAACTTGTGACTCCTGGCTTAGCATGCTGGCACTCAATCCACTGAGCCACACAAGCAAGAGCAGGAAGGACATTTTATTTTACTGTTTTGGAAGGCAGAGAAGCAGTTCCTAGTTGGAGCCTGTGGCTTTCCTCTTTAACATGACTTAGAAAATACCTATGAAAGGGAAAGGTCAATGCAGTTCCATCTATACAGGGAGTAAAATGGCCTCTGATGCTTCTTGAGAATCCCTAGTCTGGGCAATATTAGAAGAGACCCTTGATGTGGGCTTTCTGGATTTCTGAAGAAGATACACTGCATAAAAAGGAAAATAGACAGCGTGTGGCAGTTTGTGGGAGACAGAGCTTGCATTGTCACCACAGTAAGAATGAATCATGGGGAAGGTCTTACCAGGAGACTAATCATAGAGCCCAGGCATTCCCATCAACATCTGCCCTGACCAAACCTTTCTCTTTCAGCAGAACCCAAGACAGAGATCCACCCATGTCCCTCCTGCTCTCTGGCCTTCTCCAGTCAGAAATTCCTCAGCCAACACGTGAAATTCAATCATCTCTCTCAGAATCTCCTGGGAACATCTGCAAGAAAACACCTCCAAGCAGAGGAGCCCTGTCCAGAGGATCATAATCAGCAGCAGCCACATAGTAGTACATATAGCTGGAATGATAAAGCTGAAGGTCAAGAGGTCAAAGAAAGGTCCAAACCTTTGCTTAAAAGGATCAGTCTGAGCAGACTCTCAAGACCCTTTTTCCAAACTTCCAAAGAACGAATGAAGAGCTCCAGTGAGCATCAGAGAATGATGGAGGAAGAGCCCTGCAGGGGCCAGAAAGAGAGTCCAGAGGACACAGGCAAGTTATTTGTGAAAGCTGGAATGTCAAAAATTGTAACAATCCAGCACGGAGGGTGTTGTCAAGGCTTCAGTGATGGGTCGCATCTCATCACACACCAGAGGACACACTCAGGGGAGAACCTCTATGTTTGCAGGGAGTGTGGGCGAGGCTTTACACGGAAGTCAACTCTCATCACACACCAGAGGACACACTCAGGAGAGAAGCCCTATGTTTGCAGGGAGTGCGGGAGAGGCTTTACACGGAACTCACATCTCATCAGACACCAGAGGACACACTCTGGGGAGAAGCCCTATGTTTGCAGGGAGTGTGGGCGAGGCTTTACACAGAAGTCACATCTCATCACACACCACAGGACACACTCTGGGGAGAAGCCCTATGTTTGCAGGGAGTGCAGGAGAGGCTTTACACAGCTGTCACTTCTCATCATACACCAGAGGACACACTCTGGGGAGAAGCCCTTTGTTTGCAGGGAGTGTGGGCGAGGTTTTACCTGTAAGTCAGTTCTCCTCACACACCAGAGGACACACTCAGGGGAGAAACCCTATGTTTGCAGGGAGTGCGGGCGAGGCTTTATCTGTAAGTCAGTTCTCACCACACACCAGAGGACACACTCAGGGGAGAAGCCCTATGTTTGCAGGGAGTGCGGGCGAGGCTTTACCTGGAAGTCAGTTCTCCTCACACACCATAGGACACACTCAGGGGAGAAGCCCTATGTTTGCAGGGAGTGCAGGCGAGGCTTTACCTGGAAGTCAGTTCTCCTCACACACCAGAGGACACACTCAGGGGAGAAGCCCTATGTTTGTAGGGAGTGCGGGCGAGGTTTTACCTTTAAGACAGTTCTCATCACACACCAGAGGACACACTCAGGGGAGAAGCCCTATGTTTGCAGGGAGTGCAGGAGAGGCTTTACATACAAGTCAGATCTCAACAGACACCAGAGGACACACACTGGGGAGAAGCCCTTTGTTTGCAGGGAGTGCGGGCGAGGCTTTCCATGGAAGACGTATCTCATCAAACACCAGAGGACACACTCAGGGGAGAAGCCCTATGTTTGCAGGGAGTGCAGGCGAGGCTTTACACGGAAGTCAGATCTCATCACACACCAGAGGACACACTCAGGGGAGAAACCCTATGTTTGCAGGGAGTGTGGGCGAGGCTTTACACGGAAGTCAGATCTCATCACACACCAGAGGACACACTCTGGAAAGAAGCCCTATGTTTGCAGGGAGTGCGGGCGAGGCTTTACGAGCAAGTCATGTCTCATCACACACCAGAGGAAACACTCTGGGGAGAAGCCCTATGTTTGCAGGGAGTGCGGGCGAGGCTTTACAAGCAAGTCATGTCTCATCACACACCAGAGGACACACTCAGGGGAGAAGCCCTATGTTTGCAGGGAGTGTGGGCGAAGCTTTACACAGAAGTCACATCTCATCAGACATCAGAGGACACACTCTGGGGAGAAGCCCTATGTTTGCAGGGAGTGCCAGCGTGGCTTTACAGACAAGACAGGTCTCATCAGACACCAGAGGACTCACTCTGGAGAGAAGCCCTATGTTTGCAAGGAGTGTGGGCGAGGTTTTACACAGAAGTCAATTCTCATCACACACCAGAGAACACACTCAGGGGAGAAGCCCTTTGTTTGCAGGGAGTGCGGGCGAGGCTTTACACAGAAGTCACATCTCATCATACACCATAGGACACACTCAGGGGAGAAGCCCTAAATTTGCAGGGAGTGTGGGAGAAGCTTTACACAGCGGTCACATCTCAACAGACACCATAGGACGCACTGAGGGGAGAAGCCCTATGATTGCAGGGCGTGTGGGTGAGGCTTTACAGAGAAGCCATATCTCATCAGGCACCAGAGTACACACTCAGGAGAAGGTATGTTTGCAGGTGAAATGAATGAATCATTACCCTTAAATCACATATCAATAGCCCTAAGAAGTCTATGGAACCTTACTCTCCCCAAAAGTGTAGTTATTGCAGAAGTAACTGGTTAAACAAACCCTGTAGTTTCATGACAAGAGAAGAGATGGACAAACAGTTCCATGAGTAATGTGGGGATATCAGCACCAATCTCTTTCATGGTTTTTTGATGTGCTTTTCTAAAGAGTTTTGTCTCCATACAAATATGAAGCCCACATCTTTCATTCCCCCATCAGTTAAAGTAGAGAGTTTGGGAAGAGCCACAAAGAACTCATATTCTCAGCCTCAGAAATTCAACCCCTGCAAATGGGTAAGCCTGGAGTCAGTCTACTTTGGTTATTGCCCAGAGAGAGGGATTTGAGACAGACTCACCAGAGAAGGGAATTCCCCAGACTCCTGGGAGGTGGGGCCTTTTCTCTTAATAGGCTCCCTACCCTCCTCCCTTGGATTCTCTTGGCTCTTTTGGTTTCCTACAATCTCTGGAGCCTCAAGTGAACAGCAGGGAGGGGTGTGTACTTGTGCACAGAAGTGAGCCTTGCTCAGTCTGGGCACATGGTCTTCCTCACTCTCCTTGCTGCCCCTTCAGGGTCAGCATTTCCTGGTGCACAGCATACAGGTTCTACATCAGTCCATAGTCGGTGTGAGTCTCAGCTCTGTCATCTCCAGCTGTGTGACCTAGGGCAAGATTCTCAACTTCTCTCTGCCTGATTCCTAGTCTGTGCACTGGAAGTGGGAACTCCAGCCTGTCAGTTTGAAATTCAAAGTTGAGTCAGCACAGAGGATCGCTGAGATCACAAGTCCTGCTGAATAGCTTTCAGTGCCCATGTCTTCTGGGTCTTTAGCACTGGACAAAGGAAGATAAGGACAGGGTGGGGATCTGTAGCCAAACTCAGATTTTGAGCAGACCCCATTGCTTTCCCCACATAGACTCAACTGCCCTGAGAAGGAGGCGTGAGGTGGGGGATGTGCCTCCCTGCACATTACCACCCTCTCACTCAGCCTGTGCACCCTCAGAGCCTCCTCAACACAGGCAGGTGGTACTGAAAATACCCTGTGAAATAAGACCCTCACCCACCCCTTGCTGGGAACTGACACTGGAAGCAACATCTGCCCACACTGGTGTGTTAGGATAGATGGTAAGCCAAGGCAGGGAGGATGAGGAAGACGTGGCACCCACTAACTCAGCAGTCCTGAGCCTGGTCCATTTCTATTGCCAGATGGTCCAGCATCACAAGAAACACCGTGCTAACATGTGGAAATTCTAGGTATCGTTTCCACTGTCTGGCAAAGAAAGGCTTTCAAAGTGTATTCATCTCAAGACCTGGAAGATGGGAGGGGTCCACAGCACTCAAGGAAAGGACCCATAAAACAAAACTGGCTAACTGTTTGCTTCTGTCCACTATCTGTTTTATGAAGGTTCCCTAATGTTTACAGAAAGAGCCCATAGATAACTTTGGGTGACTGCTTTAACTTTCACTGTCTCCTGTCATATCTATTTTACAAGATGACCAAATGACAGCTGGACTCACACTGACAGCAACAGCCACCCTCCCGTCTCAAGCCTGACCATATCCAGCAGGGGCCAGCACACATCCCGTGAACTGTGTTCACTGGCAGCCTGTGTGCCACTATGCTGAGCCGCAGTGTTGCCTGGGCCTGTGGTCCTCAGCCAGGTGGCTCATTAGAACCCTCTGGACCTCACTGGGACACACCCACTGACTGTCCCAGGGTAGGGGCAGCCATCTCTGGCCTGGGCAGTGACTCAAATGGGGAGACAAGGGCAGCAGGCAGAGTCCATGACAAAATCCAGATGTGACCGGGGTCAGGAGAGGGGCTCTGACTCCAACCACAAATTCCCATCACAGTGGCATCAGGGATAGATAGGCACATGTATCCTTCCTGTGACAGTCCAGCCACCGTGATGCGTGAGAGCCTCTCTGTGGTTGGTGCTTATGCAGACATCAGCCACACCAGCCAAATTCTCAGATCTCTGCTCAGGGTCTTGGCTGACCAAGAAGAAACATCAGTTACAGGTTACTGAGCAGTGTGTGCAGCGTGCTTTACCTGCGTGGTCTGAAACCTATGAGGCAGAAACACCTTTAGCCACGTGCCCGGAAATGTTAGCGAGATGCTTCAAGAGCACAACTGCACTAAGGCTCTGGCACACAGTCCAGGCCCAGAGGCCCGGCTGCCAGGCAGCCCAGCAGCAGCACCAGGCACACAGCTTCAGCTGTCTTTCTGCTCTGTCTTCCTGGGACTGTGTTTAGTCCTCTTGGTACTGAGGGGCCCCTGCACTTCCAGCATCACACTCATCTCATCCCAGAGACTGGAAGGTGGGAGAGTGGAAGTCAGTTTCTTTTGAACTGGGAGGCCGCTACTGCTGGGCTTGTTACAGTTGGAAAGCCCTCCCCACTCTGGATGAAGCCATACTTTGTGTCCTTTGATCCCAAAACAGAGATGCCAGGACACAGACAGAGAATAGCAGGAGTTTGTGCCCTTGTTCCAGTGACAGAGATGTGAAAGCACATCTGGACACAACTCTCTCATCTAAATGGTCCCGAGCAGTAAACCCAGCTCTGCCCCCAAGGTGACAAATGGATGTCAGGGTCTCACCTGGGGCTGTTGGGCATTCCAACTGGGCTCTACCTAAGATTGCACAGGCCTGGGTCAGGATGGAGAAATTTGCTCCCCTCGGAAACACAGTCAGAGAGGCTGTGACAAGGAGGTGGTGGTGGTAGGGGGCACTGGCAGCAGAGGACACTCCAGGCCTGACTTCTGGCTCCACTCCCAGCCCTGCAGGGCTGACAGCCAGACTCGGGGCCTGAGGGTGTGCAGTCTTGGCGCAGCTTCTCACGGCCACTACTATCTCCTCCTCCTGCCAGTGGAGCACCTGGGATCAGGGCTGTGAGGTGTTTGGCCCCTGCTGGCAGGATCGGTGCTCCTTGTCTGACTGGACTCTGGGTCTTGGGATGGGATGAAGCTGACTGTCAGCTAGGAGCCTGTGAGTATCCACTGAGCCCCTGATCCCTGTCCCCACCCCCACCCCTGCCAATGTCCTGACTGGTTTCTCTCTGCCAAGCATCTCACTTGGGTGTCTTGGTATTTTGTTGTTTTTTTTCTTTGTAAGTGTCATTTGTATGCCTCCTCTGAGGCAGGAGATAGTCAGGAAGGAGGAAACTCCGGAAGTGCCCCAGGGCTGAGATAAAGGACATCCATGCAGGACAGAGACCCTGTTCTAAGATGGGTTGTTCGTGCTTTCTGGCAAAGCACTGAGTCATGGTGATTCATAAATGCACCTGCACAGAAGATGCTACACGACCCCTGCTTCATTATAATAGCATTATAATAAATTAACATCATGTAACCCCCTTATTCAATGGTCAATTGAGGAAAATCATGGGAGACCACATGCACAGTAACTTTAAAATATTACAACTATTTGTAAAAGTGCAATAAAAGCCTGCCAAGTCTAGCCAGGGAGGATCTGCCCTATAAGAACCGAATCCCTCTGGCCCCTGAGGTCAATCTCTGCTCAGAGTTGGCCTACTCCATGTTCTGTGGAGTGTATTATTGCTTAATAAATCTGTTCTCTCTGTGTCTGCTATAACTCTCTGTGTTCACTTCAAATTTTTGTCTGTGATCATCAAGAACCTGGTTACCTGTGCCCACCTATGACAATGCTGAATGCCCATGGTTATAGTTTTGAACTAGAAATAGAAAAAAATAAAATAACACAAATTGAAAAAGTTAACCATATTGTGCTATACAGCAAGTTCCAACAAATTTCAATTCAATAAAATTATATAAGGTATGTTACTTGCTCTCATTGCTGATAATCCAGAAATCAGAAACAGAAGGTAACTAGAAAGTCCTCTTATTTGTATGTTATAAAGTACACTTCTAAATAACCCCCCAAACAAGTCGCAATTGGAGCTAGAATTAACTTAAACTAAGTGATAATAAAAATACTGCATACCAAAGCCAAATCATTCAGGTTTAACAAACAGCCAAGGTCAGTGGTTCTCAAGCACAAGTGATTTTGCCCCCAGGGAAACATTAGGTGAAGCAGGGACACATTTCAGATTGTCATGAGGGCAGAAGTGAGGTAGGGTGTTACTGGCCAGCAGTGACTAGAGGAAACGCATGCTAACAAGCACCTGCAATGCAGGAAAAGAAAAAACCCCAGTAGATAGAATTATTGGCCCAGAGGATCAGCAGTGCTGTTACTGGGAAGACCCAAGTTAGGGGAGTTATGGGCCTTCCCCTCCTCAGTTCTTGTCCTGCTCGAAAGAATGGATTCAGGCAGGGGGCAACAAGCACAGTGAAGGTGAAGTAGCAGGTTTATTTGTGAAATTCACTTGACAGGAACCTGCAAGCTTGCCCCCAGCTAGTCTGAGTGCCCCACCTGCTGGGATTTCAGGGCTTTCATGTTTGCAGCAAGCCTCCAGGCTTCCCCTCCACAGCCCTTCTCCCAGCCCTTCTGCTGACCTTGGTATTAGCATACAGCTTCAAAGGCTTCCTTTCCCAGATAGAAAAAAGAATACATAGAATTACAAAGGCTCCCCTCCAGCTGCTGGTGTGCTGGTCCTAGTCTCTCTTGTGACCTTGGAACCTCTGAAAATCTTACCTGACCCCACTTAGGAGTGCTGAATTACTGGGTGGGACATGTCCCCCTCACCCTCTTCACCTGGTTTGGTACCTATCCTGTTTAACAGTGCTGAGAATGAAAAGCCCTGCTATAGGGAATCAATCCATGTGGCAGTGGTGAATGTAGCTCAGCCCTGGTTTGAAAAACTGATAGGCATGAGGCAGCACACAGGAGCCATGTCCACAGATCAGCTTTCCCATGGAGAACCAGGCCTGCATTGTACCTAAGCTGCTTTAAGGCTTGCTTTTGCTAAAATTCCCTCACCCTGAATTGAAGCAGCAAATGTTTACTGCATATCTTTAAAGTAACTTCTTAAAGTCTGTGCTAATCCTCCCAAGGACTGAGTGTAACCAGTTCCACCCTTTTCCCCCTTGCATTTACAACATCCTTTCTTTGAAGTAATCAACAAAATCCTTTCCTTTGTTATCTGTAAAAGATAATCACCTAAGGTGAATCTGTGCATACTTAATGAGGACCACCCTCCATGT